ATATATATATATATATATATATATATATATATATATATATATATATAATGTATTTATATTTAGTACAAATTATGTGAAATTTTTGATACTTTTTCATGTGTCATCATCGAAATCCAACTTCCTCCCTACCTTCCTTTCATTTTTGGTTTAGTTTTTGTACAAGATAGCATTGCATGTTTTTGAAATTACAGAGTAGATGTTAAAACTAGTCCAGTAAATTCATCATATGATTCCTATCTACAATATTTAACATTGTATGTAGAAAGAACATTTTGTAGGAAAAGGATCTAAAAGCTTGTGTGTGTGTGGTGGGGGTGTTGTCAAAGAAGTAAAACTACATTATAATGTGTGAAATAGTTCTGTGTACTCATGACCTAACTGAAGAATGGGGGGATGGGTTATTGAGTAAACGGACTTTGTTTTCTTGAATTTCTTTGTGTGGCCACTATCTGTTTGTAATTTTTCTTTATTTGTTCTTCATTTTTATCACTTATTTATATTGGCTTTTAAAGACTTGAATTAAATATCTCCCTCCTGGTTTTCCTTGAATCTAATTTACAGTGACCTTACTCCACCAGCCAAAAGCTTGGTGTTCTGTTTTTATACATAATGGCCTACATCTTTTAGCTGAACACCTTCCTAGCCAGGATTTTCTCCTTTCTCACATCTGTCTTGCTGTGTAACAAAGGAAATTTTCATTTGTTTCATTTAATTATTTAGGGAGGTTTTTTGTCTTTTTATACTTACTTGTCTCCACATTGTATAATGTGCATTTCAGACCACAGACTCTTTGTAAATACTGTTCTGTCTAACCTAGATGGACAGGGACCTTAGGAATATTTCCTGAAATGGTTGGCTAGACCCTGGATTCTAAAATGAGTTCCTCAAAGGTATTAGGTATATAGATCTCCCTGAAGTTGGTTCTTGAACCTTACGTTAGTGGAAGGGTTGTGATTCCATGTGTGTGCATGTGCATCTGTGTACCTGTGTAAATAGCATTCATGCACACACTTGTGTACACGCTTACATCTTTGTGTATGTGGAAGCTAGAATTTTATTTCTGCTGTCTTCCTCAGTATTTCTCCAATGTATATTTTGAGACGGTCTCTTCCTAAACCTAGGGATTACCTCATATGGCTAGGTTGGTTGGACAGTGAGTTACAGGTATATAACTCTTTCTGCCTACTAGCTCTGGAATTATTGATCTTTTCCACTGCCCTGGCTTTTTACATAGGTTCGGCCATCCCCACTTGAGACCTCACTCTTCTTGCACAACAAACATTTTACCCATTTGAGCTATTTCCCTATTCCATGGAACCAGTGTGTTTCTGGTGATGGCAATAGTGGTCTGTGAACAAGGTGGACTCTATCTGTGGAAGAAGCTCGACGGTCAACAGTAGAAGTAGACAAGGGCTACAGTCCCAAGCTGTGCTTCATTTAGCTCTAATGACTTGTTTTGAGATCATATGAACATGGATCTGCACCTCGTGTATCTTCCAAATAGAACAAGTACAGTGATTCAAGCTGAGATATGTGAGGAATTCTTCGTAGTTTTGATAAAGACAAAGGAAAAATAGATTTCTCAAAACATGATGTAGATTTAGTGTGTGTGTGTGTTTGTGTGTGTGTGTGTGTGTGTGTGTGTGAATAATTTTGCATTATATCAAAAGTGTTTTGTGTTGCATGTTGCCTATGTTTTTGTGAACTAATATAGAATTTGATGCTAGGAAAAATGATTCAGCTAATTATTACTGATAAACACACATTTACTGCCTCTTTTCTTTTCTTTTCTTTTCTTTTTTTTTTAGACAGAAATTCACTTTGAAACCCAGGCTAGCCTCAAATCCATAGTGTTAATCCTGGATCAGCCCACCTATTGCTGAGTTTACAGATGTGAATCAGCTTGCCAGTCTTAGATACTTTGTCTGAGTTGGGTTTAAGAGTTACCATAGAGGACCTCTGAAAAACTATAACTAGCATGGTATCAAAGCAGATGCTGAGACTCATAGCAAAACTTTGGGCAGAGTGCAGGGAATCTTATGAAAGAAGGCAGAGATAGAAATACCTGGAGGGGACAGTAGCTCCACAAGGAAAGCAACAGAATCAAAAAATCTGGACACAGGGGTCTTTTCTGAGACTGATACTCCAACCAAGGACCATGCATGGAGATAACATAGATCCCTGGCACAGATGTAGCCCATGGCAGCTCAGTCTCCAAGTAGATAACCTAGTAAGGGGAACTGGGACTGTCTCTGACATGAATTCAGTGGCTTGCTCTTTGATCACCTCTACTTGAGGGGGGAGCAGCCTTACCAGGCCACAGAGGAAGACATTACAGCCAGCCCTGATAAGACCTGATAGGCTAGTGGGAGGAGGACCTCCCTTATCAGTGGACTTGGGAGATGCATGGTAGGAGATGAGGAAGGGATGTGGGATTGGGAGCGGATGAAGGAGGGAGCTACAGCTGGGATAGAAAGTGAATAAACTAATTAATAAAATGATTAAGAAAGAGTTGTCACAAGGACATCTAGTTTTGGATCTTCTTTGAGATGATAATTATTCGTTCACTGTCCCGTAAAAGAGGGGACTTTCGGCTCTAAAGTAGTATACCTTATTCATATAACCAGTTTATTATATAACTGCTCTGCCTGACAGTTTTTTCAAATGTCTAAGGATTAATCTCGCTATTTCCAAAATTTTCTTAGTTTAATCACGGCTGACTTTATTATTATTTTGGGTAATTCCCATTATTCAAAGCTCCAATTCATTTCATTTTGGAGCAAATTGTTTTATACATAATAATAAGAAGAAAAAAATTAACTTTAAAACTTCCTGGCTGTTAGGATAAAACCATGTCATTTTTGTAGTTCTGGCTCTTAGTCATGTTTTCCATCCCATCTTTTAATATAATTGCACTCTTGCCCTAAGTATATGCAGGTGTACTTCTGATGTTTCCTTACTTACAGTTCTTACCTCAAAATAAAAGTACTGTTGCTTTATTTTAAACTGTTTAACAAATGGATTGTTGGCAATCCGTTTTCCTACATGTTGGGAGAAAATGAATAGTATTTGTGCTGTGGTTATCATTAAAACTCAAAGCCTAATAAGCAGTTATATGGGCAGAAAAGGAGAGTGGAACAGAATCATTCAAAGACCCTCAACAAAGCAGGTTCTTCCTAAACCATTACATTATATCTCAACTCTGTGTCCAAGTGTCTTCTTGTTTGCCGTTTTGGAGGAGGTCCTTCCCACCAAGGTTGAAATAACACATTGTTACAAGTGTCTTTGGGCAGCATGACTAATACGCCAAGAGTCTCTCGGCAGAGTATGGTGTGATGACTTTATATCAGATGTTAGCGGCAGGGTTTGGTTTTGTAGTGAAATTAAAAATAGTCTGTGGTCGGTTTTTGAACCATTCTCATATTACTATAGTGACTTTCAGAATGGTATGATTTCTATTGTCAGAAATTTCTATTGTCAGAAACTGAAAGCACAATTCCATATATCTGTCTCTAACTTTGCCCACTATGTTTTGTGTGTGCAAGCATAAATTTCAATCATGTACTATGTAGTTGAGGAAACTAGGAATTTTATAGACAAGAATTTAAGTCAACAATATTCCTGCATAATGAAGTTATTAGTTAACTTATAAAACCATCTTGCTTTTAAAATCTTCAGTATAAATTGAGTAAGTGGCCAGTAACAATATCAAATATTATCTATATTCCCAACTTTGTATATTTCAAAAATTCTTAACTAAATATATACAGCTTTGTTGTCAGTGCAAAAGAGCAGTATGAAAAACTCTCCAAGCTCCTCGACAACATGACACAATTGTACCAGAGTGCAATGCGCTACTATGCTGTTGACATGAAGAAGGTTTCTGTGGAAGAGTTTTTTAATGACTTGAACAACTTCAGAACTACATTCATGGTATGGGAAAATCTTTCATTTGCTTCCTGAAAAGTGTTCCTGTAATAATTTTTTTGCCTGTTCTCTCTGTTACTGTGTTATTTAATTCTGTTATTGGTTTTTGCAGTGAAACCTACCTTTGCTGGTGTTGGGTATTAGCATTAAATTTTTCAAATTTTAAATCTTTTGAAAAATATGTGGTTTGTTCCCTTTGGGCCTTTTTAAACATGAAACTGTAATCAGAAAATTTGATTGAAAACGTGACAAATTCTGATGGTTTTCATACAGGCCCCCTCCTGGCTGATTACAGAGTACATTTATAATAAGTTTTTGGCTATGAATTTGCTTCTTTATGCTTAAGATCAATTTGTATCTTTGTGGTATAATTTTACCAAATTCCATGCAGCTCCTGCGAAGCTTTTTTTCCCCTCTTTTTTTAATGCATTGTACAATAAGCTCCCTGCCATTTCCCTTTGAGTAGATTTTACATTCCTATGGTTTGCTTCAGACACTTTAATAGTGAGGTCAGGTCTTTGAGGTAGAATCCTTTCATTTAAGTATTAAAAAGATCTTTTGAAAAGTATTAGCTGATTAGCTGGGGAAAAAAGCCACACACACATATTAAAGTGAGAAGGTATTGTTGCTTCCCTTGGGAGACGGGGGATTCAGTATGGCAAGGGAAAAACTGTTATAAATGGGGAAGTCATTTTTATATTTCAGCAAATGTTTGTGAGGATTAAAAGTTTTGAAGTATAAAGAAAAAGAAGATCGGGTTTCAAGAGCTGCTTTTTAAATCTCAGGCAAACTTTATTGCTAACTTTGTTGGATTTGGTTATAATTGCGTAAAAATGAATTGATGACCTTTTAATGAAAACCCCCTTTTATTTACTAACACTTCTCATTCTGTTTTCTCCCAAAATTCAGTGGTCCTTTGAATTGTTTTAATTAGTGGCTCTGTACTAACTCTGTCTTATGATACACACGTGTGTGTGCACTTTCTGTGTAATACACTGTTTTGAATTTTCTAACTACTTGGGAGGCAACACACTTAGTAGAAGTAAATTTTTAAAAGGTTTGTGGTTTGAGAAAAGTAGGCTTGGATTCCAGAGTGACATCAGTATCACTTCATTTGTTTAGACTGATCTATTCTGTACATAAATGATCAAGGTTTATTTTGTATTATGTGATGAAGGACAGTACCAGGTCCTTGGTCCAGACCTACTGCTGCTTTGGCTGGCTTCTATGGAGAACTGGCTCTAGTTCAGGCCACTCTACCATCCATGCTCAGTGCCTGAAATACTGCGTCTTCTGGTTTTTGTTTTTGTTCTTAGCTGGGTCATTACATTCACCTCTTTCCACTCATCTTTTCCAGGCTTTCCTTCCTCTGCTATGATTTAGGATTTAGGTCTCTCTTATTTACCATGTGTATCTAATACATAATGTTTCACTTAAAAATTGGTAAACAGTAGTATCAGGTGATCAGTGGATGCCTTGCTTAAGACATAGAGAAATCTGTTCAGCCATAATTATGTAGCTAGCAAGGAGTCAGCGTGCTGAGCTAGGTTGTCTGGATCCTGGTTCTATACCATATAGGCCTGTATTGCATGAACCAGTAAATATGTGCTATCTTCAACACTTTCAATTTGGACTAAATTGAAATGTAGCCTTTATTCCCAAAATAAAGGTCATGGCCAGTGTCATTTGTTGTAAGTCATTTAATTTGTAATCAGTTATCTGAAATGTTTTCAAACTACTTCTGCTTTTGAACTTTAGCAGTTAAACGCTATGTAGTCCAGTCCCTGTAGTATACTGTTGGCCAACTTACATTATCTCTTCTAAGTGTTACTACGGTCACAACTAAGTTGTCTGTATATTCCTCTTCAGGTTTATTTTTCTGTTCCATAAGAGCCTTGTTACAATAGCTAAAGAGGCAACATCTGTTCCAGATTGCTGCCACAAGCCATGTAGACCAAGAGGGGAAATTTTCAAGATCTTGTAGCTCCTGTGAAGAACAGCTGTTCATTTGACAGTGCTTTAACTCAACATGCTAAAACCAAGAATCCCAACATGGGGGTTAAGGTTGTGTTGCTGCCCTTTTCTTCCACAAGGCTGTGTGCTTATTGGGCACCAGTCTGTTTAAAGCTGCTGATCCAGCTTCTCCAGAAATGAGGGCTGAGGAAATGAGGAAATGGAATTTTGTTAGGCCTTGTTTTTCTTACCATCAACACCAGGAATAAAACCCCAAAAACACCAGGAAAAAACCTCAAAGTAACCCATGGTTGAGAACTAGTTTCTCTCTAGCCCCTGTGTACTATATGGACACACGAAGGCCCACTTGGTCCCCACAGTGCTTTGTGAGGGCCAGCATTACAAGTGAGGGATGTGTCGGGAAGAAGCTCAGGCTTCTTGTAAAAGGGCTTCCACGTTGAGAGGAGCTACAACATGTCTGATGCCTGCCTACCTGCAAATTCTTTGTTTAGACTTGTATTTTACTTATGCACTAGGTAGAGGGGAGGTATGTGCAGTGGAACATGGGTAGAGGTCAGAGAACAGTTTGGTCAGGAGGTCAGTTCTCTCCTTGGAATACATGGGTCCAAAGGATGGAACTCAGGTCATCTTATTTTAGCAACAAGGAAAACCTTGAATCCTGCACTTTAGTGGCTTAAAGCACCCTGCTGTTAAGTTTGCAAGAAAGTTGGAAGTAATGACTTTCAGGTGTGGGTTGATGTTGTTTTGTTGTTTGTTTGTTTTTTACAACCTGGTAAGTGCCAGCACACAGCATGCTTGGTTTCTTCATACGTGCCATCTCCATCGATGGCTTTAGAAGGAATTATTTCAGGGCAATTTTACTTTCAGAATATAAAATGTTCTCTTTTAAGGACAGTTAACATGAAGCCTGGCCAGGATTGGGGAGAGAATGAAGAAGGGCTTAGTGTGGGGGTGCGAATCTGCCTTTCTGCAATAACTTTCTGTGGGACTGTGTCAAGCACTAAGTTAAGACTGGAGATGCTGGCTGGAAATATTAACCGCAAATTGTCGGCTGTGCCAGTTAGTTGGTGGTCTACCCAGCATCAAGTTCCACCAAGTGGTACTCATGCACTTATTACCCTGCTTCTTTAAAACTACTCATCAGTTAAGACTTGTGAGTTGTTTAAGGTTTGCTCTTCACGAGCTGTGACCAATCTTCCTGTCACTAGTAGATGATGCCATGATTTGAAGTGGTCATTTGCATACAGCATGTTATTGTTCTCAGATCCTGCTGGTGACCTCATATCTTCCCTTATCTTATTCAACAGCAAAATCATATTCATGCTTGCCTTCATATTTAAACCTAATTGTTGTTTCTGTCCTTGCCAATGTAGCCTTGAGGTGTAATGTATATTCCTGCCCCACTTTGTATCCTAGGAGAGGTCTGGGCCCTGGTTTGACTCTCCTGGTCTGAATTGCCGGATGTTATCTTTAATGTTGTCATTTTACCTGATGTTACTTCCTTTTCAGTGAAAACTCTTTTTGCTCTTAGATTTCCTTACTCTACATTATTAGCACATTTCAACTCTTGTTACAAACTCAGCAGTGTGGTCTCGGTCCTCACTTGTTTTGTAGGGCACCTAACGTAGCAAGATTTCTGCTGCTCCTTTTGTTGTGAAGCTCCTTTTCTGTAATGTTTAAACCAAATTATACACGCTATGAAAAAATCTGTTATTTAGTGTTTCGAACATACTTTAGGACTGTGAATCCTCCGGGTCTTGAGTGTCAGATGACTCACTTGGAATGATTTTTGACTTGTGCAGCTTTTGCATGTAAGTGATTGCTGAGGATATGGATGTTTTCTCTTAGATGGCACTGCACTAAGCATCCATTTCTTATTCTTAGTGTGTAAGACCCTGAGACCTGACCTTCCACTCTGGGGCTAGGATTTAGAAGGCAGCCGGACACAGCCCTTGCCTTAAAGTTGTTATTATTATTGAATACTCTTAAGTTAGGGAAGTGTTAAATCTTTATATTATAAGAGCTTAGTGAATTCTTTATCTGATTGACTTTACTTTCATTTCTCTGTCTTCCATTGTGAAACATGGTTGTTTCATAAATAGGAGGGAATAGTGGTCATGAGCAGACTCTGGCATCTAGTACAGTATATTGAGTTGTGTCTTTGTAGATTATACGTGACAGTAACTTGCAAGTTACTTAACCTTACTAAGCCTCTATGTAGTAACTGCATGTAGTGGAATTAACGACCAAATGCACATAAAGCCTTGCAACAAGCTAGCTGTGGGCATATAACAGATAAGCTCGTCTTTCCTATTTCTTTATACCAACACCGGGATTTTTAAGTATCTTTCCGCTTTTTTGTGTTTCCATATAGAATACTGTGAGCAGAGCAGGCACCCAACTTGTGTTTAGCTCTGGCATTAGATGAATTCTACAGGTTATGACTTATGTTTCATCCAATTAAGTTGCGATATTCATATATTTGGCAAATATTAGATTAGTTGGTTTTGGGTTTATATAATTGAAATATATATTGTGAACAAATACCAAAGTAAGAATGACTCCTAGCATCTTACTGTAGCTGTTGGTCAAATAAAAAAAAAAAACAATTTCTCCTCAAGTCTCAGTCTAAGGGAATAAAGTGTTATCCCATTATCCAGTGAGAAAGCATCTTACTGGTGTTTTTTTGGTTCTTTTGTTCTGTTTTGTTTTGTTTTGTTTTTCAAGAACAGCTAGAACACAACCTTTCTTGGCCAACCATTTAATCACACAAATTTGATGCTGGTCAGCTCTGAATGCCATTTGTGCTAACTGCTGTGTGAGAATAGCAGGAGGACAAAGGACTTAACATGTCCTGAATGTCCCCTGAAGCTTGTAGATTGATATGTTTTATGTTGTCAGAGGCAAAGGAAATCATGTACAAGTCTTATGGTGGGGTGTTGAGCCAGCCTCTGTGATTATGATAGAAAGAGTCTTCCCATGCATATGTTGGTGGGCTTACAACTTCAGAGTTGCATTTGGGGCCTTTTCAC